ACACCGGACGAGGACGACGTAGGCAGCTCACAGGACAGGACAGGGCAGGGCAGCTCACAGGACAGAGCTGCTGGCTTCCTCCAGGGCAAGGTCAACATGGAGTTAAGCAACCCACATACACGCACTGCCTGCTCTCTTTTCTGTCACAGCTGCGATAAACAGAGAACAAAAGTGCAGAGTAAGAGCCCTCACGGCTTCCCCAGACCACCCTTCCTCACCGGCCTGTGCTGGCTTGTGCCTTGGAGAGCCCAGCCGACGGGGCTGGGCTGACCTTGTCACTGAGCTGTGGCAAGAGGAACGCAGGGTTCTATTGGCTGCTCGGGTCCTGGTCACCTGCCAGTGTCCGGGTGGTGTGGCCGTGTCGGCGAGCACTGGAGCTGGTGGGAGGAAGTCCGGGTCCTTCCGGACAAGGGGTTTACACTCAGGTCACTAGGAACCACCGGCTGTTCACTCATTTGCTGCTGGTGGAACTGAAGGGGTGGCTGGGTGCTGCCACAAGTCCAGGCTCATCCACCTGTGACAATGGGCCTGGGTGTTACAGGAGCAAACTGGGGCTCAGTCCCCCCTTTTGAAAACAATAATTTGCCACTTTGTTGAACAACTGTTCACTTTTTTCCATTAAAAATTGTTGATGTACACACAGGAGACATACAAAGCTCACCTACACAGTTGTGTGTGTGTGTGTGTGAGCATGTGTTGTTCACAGTTTGAGGATCCACTGTGGTATGGACGCCTGTCCTCACTGCTGGAGTCAGTACATGAAAACAACCCTCTCCCAGGGGAACCTGGACTTCAGTGACAATCCTGTCCCTGCTCTGCCTCCTCTTCTGACTCCCCGGGGGCACCTCTCAGCCAAGGCACCGGGCTTTTCTGTTCCACTTCCTTCACGTGCCCGCTTTGGGGACTAGCTGTCCGGGTGACTCACCCTGATGCCGTGATTGCCTGAGTGTCCCTTGTGTGGATGGGCCACGTCCACCCGCTCTCCTGATGAGACACGCTGGGCCTGTCCTATCTCGGGGCCCAGGACTCACCGCCAGGCCGTGTCCCACGTTTCACTGGTGTTTACACCCAGGAGCAGAACTTCTGGATCAGAGGGGGCCCTCACCTTCCTGGCCAAGAACAGCATCTTTCCTGAAAATTGAGCAGGTGTGTGTGCCAGGCCCCAGGCAGACCTGGGAGGAGGGGAGCTGCAGTCAGACCATTGTACAGGGACATCTGAGCCACCACCGCTGCCTGCGCCGAGCTGTGGGGGCGGGCGGGTGCTTTCAGAGGGGGAAAAGGGAGGGGGGCCTGGCCGATACCCCCAGCTCCCTCCCCTCCCTGAGTTAGGGGCACAGTTGCTGACTGGGAGCTGCATAAACCATCAGGCAGGAGAGAGAGTGTGTGCAGAGGCGCCGAGGCTGAAGGGGCCGCCCCGACCCAGGGTCGCCGCCCCGGGAGGCCTGAACAGCAGGAGTCCATCTTCCTACAGCTCTGGGGGCAGGAGGCCCGGGCGGAGTCCGGCGAGGCCACTTTCTGGTGATGGCTCTCCTCCCAGCCGCCAGCTGGCCGCGTCCTCGCTGTGTCCACATGTGATGGGGAGCCAGCCCCAGGGACTCTGTCATGTAAGGACACCAGACCAACCGGGCAGGGCCGCCCTCAGGACCTCACTCAGCCTCTGCACTCCAGACACTGTCACACGGGGGGACCTCAACCTGTGGATCTGGGGGACGTGAACACCAGTCTGTAACGGTGAGGGGTGTCTGAGGCCCTGGAGCAGGCGGGGGCGAGGGCGGGGCGGCGTCCAGGTACCTGCTGTTGTGAAACCATCCGCCCCTCAGCGCAGGGCTTTAAACTCCCCTGCTTCCTCCCGTAGGCGGGCTCGGGCAGGCCCGGGCGCCGGCTGCTCTCCGC